AATACGCTCTTTGTCTATTTTTGTCTGTATCTATTACTATACCTGGTTCCCATTTTTTGTCTAAGTTTACCATTACTTTGTCATTAATCTGTAGCCTTGGAATGTCATGACAATGTTTGTTATAAAATTGTTTGCTCTGGTTTTGACGATTTACAAGTATTTTCTCAAAATTTTTTATTGGTATTTTTGGTTTTAATAAATTATCTTTAATAGGTAAATATCCATTGATTCTCCTTCCAAATAACAGCTGTGCAGGACTTGGTAGGTTTCTTCCAATTGGTGTGTTCCTGTATTCTAACAGTGCTAGATAAATATCTCTCCCATCATAGTCTGCTTTCTTAAGAAGATTTTTTATTGTCTGTATGTGTCTCTCTATTAGGCCATTACTTTGAGCATAAGTTGGCGAAGAGGTTCTGTGTATAAATTCCCAATCATGTGTAAACTTCCTAAATTCTGCGCTAACAAAATTTGTTTCATTGTCGCTGTAAAACATATCTGGCTTTCCGTGTCTTGCAAACATATCTTTTAGTGCTCGAATTAAAGCGTGACTTGTCATATTTTCTAACTTGTAAATTTCTGGATATTTCGAGTAGAAGTCGACTACCAGAAGATAGTTAACGTCATTAAAATTATATACGTCACCTGCTATGTATTGCCATGGTCTGTTCGGGATTTCTCGGGTTATCATTGACTCTTTTTGTTGACTTCTTTGATATACCAAACATGCAGGGCAATTTCCTACTAGATCTTCTATTTCTTTGGTTAAAAACGGCCAATAAATTACTTCTTTTGCTCTAAGTTTTGTTTTTTCTATTCCCATGTGGTGATAATGTAGTCTTCTCAACATTTCTGCTCTTAGACTTCTTGGTATCACAATTTGATTTGCTTTATAAATTACTTCTTTGACTTCTACTAATTCTTCTCTGTAGTTCCAGTATTTTCTTACATTTTCCTGTACTCTATTTCTGTAATTCGGCCATCCTTCCTTAATGTACTTATTTAAAAGTTGTAATTCTTCATCTTTTTTTGTTTCTTCAGCTATTTTTTGAAACTTTTCTGGACTCACTGTATTTTCAAAATTTATTAAATTAATCTGGGCCTCTATCTCTTCACTTACTTCAAAGTTTTTATCATCATAGCTGGTTCTAGACAGAGCATCTGCTAAATACAATTGGTTACCTGGTTTGTACCTAACCTTAAAATCGTACGCTTGTAAGATTACTCTCATTCTTTGAAGTCTTAACGGACATTTGTTAACTGGTTTCTTAAAAATCATTTCTAGCGGCTTATGGTTACTTTCAACAAGGAATCTTTTTCCATATATATATTGGTGGAATCTTTGACAACCAAACGTAATAGCAAGCATCTCCTTTTCTATTTGCGCATAGTTCTTCTGCGCTTGCGTCAGCGTTTTTTATGCATATGCCACTGGTCCATTATTCTGCAAAATAACTGCACCCATTCCATCTTTGGAACTATCTACTGAAAGTGTTATTGGTACTCTTTCGTTAAAAAATTGTAATATAGGAGCTACCATCATTAAACCTTTTACTTTTTCAAATTCTTCTTGGTGCAGATTGGACCATATAAAAATATTTTCTTTTTTCATTATTTCTCTTAGGTTTGCTGTATGTTGGGACAGGTTTGGTAAAAATTTTGAAATGTAAGTAAACATGCCTAGGAATCTGCTTAATTGTTTCTTGTCAGTTGGTGGTTTTATTTGCCTAATTGCTTCTGCCTTATCAGGGTCTATTTTTATACCATTTTTGTTTAGTATATGACCAATATATTTCACTTCAGGCACAAAAAATTTGCACTTGTCTTTGTTAAATTTAATTCCTTTCTCCAAGGCTTTGTCAAATATCTTTCTTAATATTCTTTCATGTTCATCCTTGGTTTTTGTATACACCAGTATATCATCAAGATATATTTTTACATTGGTAATCCCTGCAAATATTTCAGTCATCACTCTGTGAAATATTTCTGGGGCATTCCTTAATCCATAGGCTAATCTTAAAAATCGAAATCTTCCATAAGGTGTTGCAAAGGTTGTTAGTTTGGATGCTTCTTCTGTCAACGGTATCATCCAAAACCCTTTATATGCATCTAAGGTTGAGCAAATTTCTGCATTGGATAAATCATGTGTTATTTCTTCAAAGGTTGGAAAATCAAAGTGTTCTCTGTATAAGGCATCATTTAAATTTTGCGGGTCCAAGCATATTCTTATGTCTCCATTGGGCTTATTTACTAGCGTTATAGGGTTTACGAATTCTATAGGTTCATTTACATCAAGTTTTGTTATAATTCCTTCCTTTGTCATTTTTGTAAGTTCTTTTTTTTAGTTTCTCCTCCATTTGAAATGGTATTTTTCTACTTGGGCATACTTTTGCCACATAGTCCGGCTTCAGTTTAAAATTTACAGGATCCATATGAATCAGTCCTATTCCTTCAAACAGTTCATTGTTGCCAAATACATAATTTTTATTCAAAGTTTCTACTTTTGTAATCATTTTCATTTCAGTTATTGAATCTAGTCCTAATATAGGAGAACCATTTTCTACTACCACAAACTCTACATTAAAAACTTTATCTTTATATTTTATTTTTAAAGTTATTTTACCAAAAACCTTAATTTGGGTCCCTGTATAGTTAGTTAACTTGTATGAGCAAGGTTTTAATTTAAAATTTAGATTAAAACAATTAAAGATATTTCTGGGGATTGCATTTATTTGAGCCCCTGTATCTAATTTAACCTTTAAAAATTTATTTAACTCAGTTATAAATATGTTTTCAAACCATTCGCTCCCCTTTTTACACGAATCTGAATCTAATGTCCCCAATACAAATGTTTGATTATCAGTATTATTATCAGAATTAACTACATTAACAGTCTTTTTATTTTGACATACCTGTGCAAAATGATTTTGTTTCTTACAGTATGCACAACTCTTACCATAAGGTGGACAGCTTAGGTGACTTCTATCGTACCCACAATATCTGCATATTGAGGTTGTGTTGGGCTGTGGTCTTCTTTGATGTTGATATTCCACATTTTTCTTATTCTTGTCCTCTTGGTTGGTTCTTGTTGTGGGTTGGGTTGTCTGGTCTCGTGCTGGTAACTGTCCATCCCTTGTCTTCTTGAAACTATCCCTTGTATTCTTAAAATTCTTTCTCGGCTGGTTTTTAATCTCGCACACACTTTTATCTTCTAACAAGTTTTGTATGTGTTTATCAGCTTGTTCTGCTGCCTTGCAAACAGTTATGGCTTTATCCAAGGTTAAATCGTCTTCTCTTAGCAATCTGTCCTTGGTTCTTTTACCGTATAGTCCACAAACTATTCGATCTTTGATCAGGCTGTCTTTTAGTTCGCCAAAATTACAGGAGGCTGCGATGCTTCTTAAATCTTTGACATAAGCATCAAAATTTTCGGTGGACAATTGTGTTCGGGTATTAAATTTATGTCTTTCTACACTTACATTTGTTTTTGGTATAAAATATCTTTCCAACTCTTCTATAATCTTCTCCTTATTTTGTTTATCTGCTTCTGACATATTTAAAGTGTCCAATATCTCACATACATTCTCTCCGATTGTATGTAACAGAATTGCCGCCTGTACTTTTGCTTCTTTCTGGTCTGCCGCGGTGGCTGTCATGTATAGGTTAAACGTTTTTTTAAATTTCTTCCAATTAAGGGCCAAGTCACCCTCCATACTCATGGGCTTGGGCTGTTTTAAAAATCCCATGCTTTTAACCTCACTTTTCTTTTATTAGCCTATCAGGTTACTTTTTTGATTCACTAATCACTAATAACTATCTTCAAAGTTTCTATAACTACGACTGCGCCATGTTATGTTATCAGGTTGTTCATTATAAACAATATTTCTAGGATGCAGATGGATTTATTATTTTACTTAACAATTAACACAATTGCATGTCCTTCTTCGTGAAAGCAGTGAAGTTGGCTCTCGGGGCAAGGGTTAGCTACACTACATCTTATTAGTTAAATTCTCATTACACAGATTATCATTATATAAACTCAACACTATAACAGCTTTATAGGTAAAAAAAAGAAATAGGCACTTTTAATTTTTGAAATTTGTTTTAGCAGGTTTAAAAAAAATATTATTTTGTATACTTATTTTAAGACCAAATTTGGTTAATTAAGTCTTACAAAACATTAGTTAATTTTAGTTATTTTGTCTGTTATCTTAACATAATGTGTATTACTACTGTTAAAAGGGGTTAATAAAACAAATAAAAAAATAATAATAATAATAATAATTAATTGTTTCGACTTTTACTTGATGAAACTCCATGTTAATATTGTTTTATTTTAATATAAACTACACTGTTTAAAAGTTTCACTATTTTATTTAAATATGACAATTGTTTCGCTACACAGTAGCATCTTCAGATCTGAAGATGCTACTGTGTAGCGAAACAATTGTCATATTTAAATAAAATAGTGAAACTTTTAAACAGTGTAGTTTATATTAAAATAAAACAATAATAATAATAATGACATTTAACAGTCACAAAAAGTTCTCCTTTTCCTTTGCTACTTAAGTTTTCTCTGGAAAAATTAGGATAAAAATAAAGCTTACCTGTTTATAAAAAAAACTGAATAGCGTTTTTTTTTCCTTTTCAAAAAAAGTTGTAAGTACCTATAGGTATTCAAATATATTTGTATTATTATTGTATTACAAATACTTATGCTAGAGTATTGGCAACTTTATTAACTTCGTACTGTAGAAAACGTTTTTACGTTTATCTTATTTCCGCCATGGTGCGGTACTCGACCTAAAGGACAGAAAAACCGGACATGGGACAGAAAAAAACGGAAATTTTCATAGAAAAAAAATATGGTTCTATGATTAGCGAAAAAATTTTCGGTTTAATGCTTATTGCATAGAGAAATTAACTTTCCGTGGAATCGAAACTAATGGTTAAACATAACTTTACTGAATCTTGTCAGAAATTTGACAAATTTTTGGCCATTAATGGAAACGATATTATTAAAAGAGTGGGAACAAACCTTAAATACTCTTAAAGTTATGTATAACCATTTGTTTTGCTTAAATCTGACAGCCCTAATCATGCATAGTAAATAAAAACGTATGCAAGGAGTAAATAAAAACGTTTTTAGGTTTCATGTAGTTTTTTTGTTATGTTCCAAGGCTTGGAATCGGGGACCAGGGTTTCACAAATTAGATCACTTATATTTTGTCACATAAATTGTATTTCGGATCTACTCAGTTCAACCGCTTACAACGAATGCGTTTTAAAAATTAATTAATTACATAAAAAACCCACAATACATTTTAGTATAGGTATACTTGTAGTGCTTTTTTATAGACACAAAAACTAATACGTAAAAAACATATACAAATAATTTTTAATAAAGTTTGTTTTATTATTTTACTTGACATTTTTGAAATTTGATTTTGCAGGTTTAAAAGAAAATATTCTCTTGTATATTTTAGGACCAAATTTGGATATTAAATTTATATTATATTTTATATATATGTCCCAAATGTGCACCCTGAACGGATGGGCTTTATTATCTGTTGAGCATAAAATAAGGCCCATTAACGAGTTTTTTAAAAACCTAAGAATTTTTCTTTTTGTTTATTTCATTTGAGTTTATAAATGTTACAGTATATAGTTTAAAGTTAATATATGTTTATGAAATAAAAAAAATAAAAAAATGTACACGTTTTCTTTGTTTTTTTAATATAATGCGTTAGGTGGGCCTTATTACCCGCACTTACCTTATTTATCGGGGACAACCAACAACTCGATATTTTTAGAATCACTCGTTTACAAGGTCTCTTAATTAATTAGGTCTCACAAATCATTAGTTTAATACGATAATCAGAAATAATATTCTAATTACTTTGTCTGTTATCTTAACAAAATGTGTATTACTAGTGTTAAATGCATTAATAAAACAAATACAAAATAATAATAATAATGCCATTTAACAGTCACAAAAAGTTCTCCTTCTTCTTTGCAAGTTAAGTTTTCTCTGGAAAAATTAGGATCAAAATAAAGCTTACCAAGTGTTTAAAAAAAAACTGAATAACGTTTTCTTTCTTCTTTTCAAAAAAGGTTTTCTTTATTACCTATCTAGGGCATCAAATCCCAGAGGCGTACCTATGCATGGAGTAAATAAAAACGTAAGCAACGAGTAAATAAAGGTTTCATGTGTTTTTTATTATGTTTCAAGGCTTGGAATCGGGAACCAGGGTTTTACAAATTAGATCACATATATTTTGTCACATAAATTGTTTTTCGGCCTACTCAGTTCAACCGCTTACAACGAATGCGTATTAAAAATGAATTAATTACATAAAAAACCCACAATACATTTTAGTATATACCTGCAGTACTTTTTTATAGACACAAAAACAAATATGTAAAAAAAATATACAAATAATTATTAATAAAGTTTGTTTTCCTATTTTACTTGACATTTATTTATTTCAGAAAAAACTGAAGCAGAAGAAGAAGAGGGAACGGAAAACGACGTAGAATCGGCTGAAAATTTGGAAGATTCGGACCAAAAACGAGGAATAAAAATAAAACAATTAGGAGGTCCTCTACTGGCACAAACGTACGTAATATTTATTATTTATTTATTAATATTGTAAAAAAATATACGAAGATTGTCCAGAAAAAGACGAAATGGCACCACATCAGGAAATGTCTCTGACGCAGAGCTGGGCAGTACTTAAATATTGTACTTAGAGTACGTTTTGAGTACTTTGTACTTGTTAATTAAGTACTTAGGTATTTGAATATGTACTTGGTACTTGTACATGTAACATTCTGCTAAAAGTACTCAGTACTCGGGACTAGAATACGAGTACATCTTTACAAGTACTTTATACAAGTTGAGACTTGTCTGCGCCTGCAGCCGATAGCCTACCCTAGGGCAAAAGATTGTGGCCTATAATATCCAGGATGAGGCGACTTTTATACATATGTTCGAAAAGTTTTTACATGTGCACGTCGCCCCTGAAATGAAAAAATAAAATAAATTGATACGCCACTAGAATATCAATGCCTACTAAATTACTGTTCAGGAAAAAATACGTTATTATTACAATTTTTCAGGGGTTCCTGTATAATAGGAACTAAGTGTGTGCACAATAAAATTAACAGGTTTAAACAACCCACATCATAATAAAAATTAAATTAACTACTTGTTAGTAACTAGCATGTTAGGTGTTGATCTAGCTTTATTTCGAGATTAAATTTTCAACCCCTAAAGAGAAACCTGTGTTTTTGTCAAGACCTGCAAAGAGTTTCATGTCGCCCTGTATTACGATATTGTGGTTTTTTAATACAGGTCACCTAATAAATTGTCATCCTTTGGGGGGATGATAGTACACACCAAAACAAGTAAGTTTTTCCTCTATCATTTTTGCATTAGAGCTTCTGTTTTTTAATAAAAAAAATATGAAATTTTTTTGACAAAACCAGAGAGCCACTGGATGTCACTGACCTATCCTATATATCATCATTGTTTTTACCTCTAAAAACAATTATTCATCCAAGCAAAAAATAATCAGGTATACGCACAGTGTAGGGGAGAGTGGGGAGGGTCTGGACACTGGGAGACAATGGACAATGGACAAATTTCGCGGTTCCAGTAAAAATTTCAGGTTGGTTCTACTATTACCACAGACCTGTGACTATTACAGATCGTCAAGTTGGTAAGGTATCAAATAGTGGTAGTGAAATAAGTTTGAGTTTAGCTGTAGAAGAGGTAAGTGGAAAAGTTTATTTTCGAGTTTTTTCATGTAATACTTTACTTTCCCCTTGTAAGCTTTTCTGCCCAGACCGTTTTAGATAAATAATTTAAAGTTACTACATATTAAAGCATGTAAGTATAAAGCATGGAACTTTTGTTATATCCTTACCTTATTCCGTTGCTATATTTTGAAATTATAAACATTTTTTTTGTTCCACATCATGTAGGGAGAGTTTGGACACACTGTCTAGAGTCTATTGTCCAAACATCGTCCCGGCACTTCGTTAACAGAATATTGCAAAAATTAAACCGAGAATATACAGTCAAATTCCTTAAAAGGCAGTTTCCATCATACAGATTTAAGAAAGAAATAGATAAAGATGAAGCCTTGGTGAATTTTAAGGACGTGGTATTGGTTCTTCCCACCCACTGACGGAGTTCGATTCCATAACATGGTTTACTTTAATTTTGATTTGTCGCAATTTGGTATTGTATAAGTTTTGCACTGATTTTTTCAATAAAATACCTAAATTAATAATATTTTTATAGTGTCCAAATGCACCCCGTACGCTGTCCAGAATCTCCCCGTATGTGGTGTGACTTTGGACAGATGACCGAAAATTTTCAAAAATTCGTAGCAAACCCATCTTACGGTTTAAAGTGCACATATTTATCTCTTTGCGTTTTTAGAAGTCAACACTATTACCTGAAACTTTGAAATTAGAATTAATAACATTTTTAAGAGACCCAGGCAAAAAAATCTAAAAATTGTCCAATGTCTACCCACTCTCCCCTATTATGTAATATCAAGCAAACTTAAATAGTATATTCTGTAACAAGTTTGGAAAACAGCATATTCCGCTCGAGTGAAGAGTGTCACACGAGCCGAATGCGAGTTTGACGGTTTCACGAGAGCGGAATATGCAATTCCAAACGTGTTTCAGACTATACTTTTTCAAAATACCATAGAAAAATAATTTAATTGGAAGAAAGTGAGGTTGGATCGGTCTAAAATTTGTTAGATATTAAAAACAGAGATGTCGCCACGAGTGTTTATTCTGTCATCCGATGAGAGAATATTTCATTCTGTAACACTTTACGAAATATGGGCGAATTTTCGTTAAATGTACATTTTGTCCAGGCAGGTCAATTTGATCGATTTTTGTTCCTTTGTGAAAGAACAGTGCAATAGACTGCAGCAAAATAAATTAATAAATAAAATAACAAAAATAAACTTTAAAGAAATAAAACTTATAGGGTTAATCTGAAATAGAGAAGGAACACAAGGAAGAAATGAAACATTGTCCTCCTCCTAACGCATCTTCCTGAACGTTTTATGACACCTTGCTTTTGACTTTTTCAAACGTTATTTTTCAGAAATACTGTTAAATGTAATTATTTTTCGGCATTTGTTTGTCAATTCTACTATGCTATAATACAAAATGAAAATAAAAAGTTAACTTCTAAAACAAGAGTTGTATGTAGCGTTTTGTAAAATACACCAAAAAGTGTACGCAAAAAAATCTTACCTTTAAAATAATATTTACAAAAAAATGCACACACTTTACACGTGCTCATTGGTTGTTGACGAACTATCAAACTGGATGCCCTCTAGAAATAAAACGCTAGTATCTCTATCTCGTGTCTCTATTTCGAAGCAGTCGACATAGAAGACGACGTTAGGAAAAAGACAAGATTTAATATTTTTTTTTTGTTTAAACTACTTTGTAGAAAACTATTTTAATTTTATATACGAATAAAAGAACTTTTCATTGTTCAAAAATAATTTATTTTTTCAGAAGAAAGCTGCAAAGAAGAATATAATAATTTAAATTAAAAAATCGCTTCTGGGGACAGTTAGGTTACAGGACATTTCACCTAATTTTTCTGCCATATATAGAAACACAAAGTAATTAAAAAAAAATACGATGGGTCCTAACAGGAAGGGAGTATTTAAATATAATAAATAAAAAACTTATCAACAAAGGTCAAAAATAAAAATAAAATTAGCTGGGGACAGCAAATATACATTTAACGAAAATTTGCCCAGATGTCATTCCATAGATAAAAGTGATAATTCCGTAATAGGAGTAGAAAAAACTTATTTATTACTTTGTTATCATTCACGTTGGTACATTTGGCGTTTTGAACTTAAAAAATACAGCTTGTTCATACTAAAACTGAATATATCTATATATATATGGGGCGTGGCCTCGCCTCCCTCCAACGCGCGACACAGTAGCTAAGCAAATAGACTGCATCGCTAATGAGATTTTTTGCATTATTATCATTTAATTTACCTGCTCGACCTTTCGTTATGTCGTTTATCACACAAGCAACTGTGACGCGCCTTGGAGGGAGGCGAGGCCACGCCCCATATATATATATAGATATATTCGGTTTTAGTATAAACAAGCTGTATATAATCTTTCAAACATTTTTTTTAATATTTAAATTATTAGCTTTACTTTGCAAGAAAAATTAAAATCGCGTATGTAGTCGTTGTGGAGATATTTACTTAAATGTAAGCTTAACATGTGTTGTAATGAAAATGACCACATCAAAGCAGAGCACCAACAGCAGCCCAGCAGATAAGACCTAAAGAGGGTACATAAGATTGTACCGAAACGTCTTCAGACATACGGTTCTTTTAAGAACCAAAAACCGACAACACGAAGCAGATCCCGGAAAACCATAAATGCATATAACGTCCGTGGAAACCTAAAGCACAACATTGATCTCGTTAATTTGCGTGGCGTTTTGGTGGTTGTAAGAGCTGGTTTCCATGCGGTTGGTAGTCTCTGTGAATCTTCTCTTCTGTTGAGGTTTTTTGGTCCTGTGTTCGATGCTAGCCAGGACCCAATTTCATGGGAAGTTTTTCGGACGTGTTCAGATAAGGAAGATGTTTTTTATTTTTTCAAGACTGCGTTACGATGTTCTTCGCGTCTAACGTTGATACGTCTATTGGTCTGTCTCACGTAGCTTCCGTCACAATTCTTACAAGGAATTTCGTGCACCCCTTGTGCCTCCAACTCAATTTTTGGTTGGCGTTTGGAAGTATTTGACCGATCTTTTTTGGAGCGGTAAATGTTGTCTCAATGTTATGTTTTTGAGAACTTTGCCTATTCTGCGGGTTGTCCCTTTCACGTAGGGAAGGAAAGCCTTCGAAGTTGGTTTGTTCTCGTCTTCTGTGGTATTTAACCGGCGTCGTGGTCTAAGAGCCTTTTTGATGATGGTTTTGGAGAATCCGTTTTGCTGTAGCGTCGTTTGGATTTTCAGGTCTTGTTTCTTGTGGTCATCATCCTCTAGCCTTTCAGATCGCGTGACAAGTGTCTTAATGACTGACTGCAGTTGTGACGGGGGGTGGTGAGACTGGGCGTGTGCCCTAGTTTGCCATTATTTTTCTTGATTATGAATACATCCAGGAAAGGTAATTTTTTTGGTTTCCATTGTGAACTTAATCTTTCCAGGAATTTCTTCAGTTCCGCTTCTCCGTGGGTCCAGATGATAAATGTGTCTACCGTAGCCATAACTTTGATTTTAGTGTTGCCGTTTCAATTGCTCGTACTTCTATGTCTTCCATGAATAAGTTGGAAATTGCTGGCGATATTGGAAAATTGACTTTGAAAAAACAAATGCAAAGTAAAGCTAATAATATCACTATTTAAAAAAAAATGTTTGGAAGATTATATATTTTTTAAGTTGACGCCAAATGTACCAACGTGCATTGATTAATGATAGTTCGGTTGTTATTGTGATTTTTCTGGGGCTACATGAACAGTTTGGTGTACCAAAGCGAAGTTGACACATTAGAATAACTCCGCGAACTTATCACTGCAGCGGCAGATGAAATCTGA